CTATATATATATATATATATATATATATATAAAACATTATTGTGAAGCAATCCAATAATCAGCATTAATTTTCTTTAAAATATTTCTGTTTTCAATTAGGAACAAAATTATTGTAATAATTATATATAGATATTAGCAGTCTAATACAATATAATATATTATAATATGTGGCCCATATTCAGAACGCGTTTCTTCAATGCGCATGCGTCGGAATTTTCTCACTTAACATGGCGATTTGTTGACACATTCTTTCGCGTATCAGCAATCTAATATTATACGTATATACGTATGTGCGAATGTATGTACATATGTATGTAAGTGTGTACGTATATACGAATGTGTGCGTGCGTGCGTGCGTGTGATATGATTTTGCATATGTCTAATATAAAAATTTTTTTCTACGGAAAATCAAACATTTTGCGATTAGATTATTCTGTTGAATATGTAGAAACACAATTTTGCAGTTCCTCATAGGTCTAGCGTGCCGACTTCAACAATACTTGCCACCAATGATTATAAGTAAGTGAACATCCGTTTGATCAACGACTAGTGAGTGAATATCGTTTTTCAAGGGAACGTGTATGAATACATTATAATACATAATTTTATAGTATTGTAATTCTATTCATAATTTCGTTTCAAGACTGAAAAGAACTTTATTGCGCAAGCATTTACAGAATTGTCTATGTACGTATGTATATAAATTCACATTGAAATATTAGATAAGATCAGCATTGAACGAATATAGGATTTCATTTGCTTAATTTGATGGAATTAAAATTTATTTATCTAATTGAAGAAATTTTTCATATGGTTTATATATTGTACATATTGTATATATTGTATGTGTGCGTGTGCGTGTGCGTGTGCGTGTGCGTGTGCGTGTGTGTGTGTGTGTGTGTGTGTGTTATTTCTTGTTAAAGTTTTACTTATTAGCATTTTACATTAGAAACAAAAATCTTTTATAAATAAAATTAATATTTCCTGTAATTAAAAAAGTAATTAAATATTATAAAATAATTGTATAAAAAAAAAGAACTAAATTAATAATGTATAATTATTATATATGAAATAAATACCATGTTAAATTAAATAAATAATGAATATTAATCTAATAATATGTATCAATAATAATAATATAATAATAATTAGCGACTGTCTACTAAGTTAATTATACGTTATCATATATTCTTAAATGAGTGCTCTACAAAAATTAAATTATCTATTGTT